CCTAACCCACCCACGTTCGAAGATGACAAGATCGTTGGATGGAACGACTTCAAAATCGAAATCAGAATCGGGAACCAACCTCCAGGGCTCGTTCAATCGATGTGCGTTCAATGTATAGTTACAATAAAATCTGATTACCATGTGCAATCATTCATATCAGCTTCATTATCTTCACACACTATCGATGCCCTTAATACAGAGAGAAGGAACGAATTTTCTTCCACCTGCTCGAATTTTCATCGCCAAAACCCTACGGTATGACGTCCCTCGTTGTCTCTCTCATTTCTCACAAATACACGTTCTCATCGATTCCAATACGCAATGATTCCCTACATTGATTTTTTATATCAATATCAAGTTTTGATAACGATGGAGGCAAGTAATTCGAGGAAGCGAAGTCGCAATTGTTAAAGGAGGTTTACATTTGAATTTTCTTTTTTGTCTTGTATATTCATTTCTCTATAACAAATTTATTTTCATAAAATATATATTTGAATTTTTTTATGCACCAGGGGGAGACCGATCCTCCTTGTTCTCTCTTTATTAGGGTTTTCTGAGCCTATATTCCCATGTGTTAGTTGCATTCAAGGGCTTTGTTATGGAAGTTGTTCTAAGACTATATGTAAGTGTTTGATTTTCCCTAATTTTATTCACCATTTTGATACTTTATTCTTGATTTTCTGAGATCAATCATATCAAAAAATATATGTTGTTTGCTGCTATGTTGTTAAGAGTCAATTTGGATTTAATACCTTTTTTGGTGATTGGCAGTTATATTCATATATTTAATTGTGTAATATATTATGAATTGTGTAATACCTTTTGTTGGTGTTGATGTCTATCTAACATGTGATTCTGTATAGTGTATGGTGTAAGATACGTTTTGTTCAATATTCTGCCCGATTTTTGGAAGAGTATACTCTAAACTTCTTAACGTTTGTGTTTAATATTCTTACAAACTTTTTTCAAGACCCTGAGGGTATTATGGCAGAAAGTAATTCTGACAGCATTTCATTCTCATTATAAATACCTTTACATGAATTTCAAGAATCATTCTTAGAAGATTGGTATCCTCATTTGTATAATCTTATTTCCATGCTTATTTTTATTTTTTAATACATGTCTTTGTTTACTCGTTAGTTGAAGATCTAAAGTCAAAGGAAATAAATTCCCTTCTAGGAAGAATGAGAATGAAGATTCTTTCATGAATGACATTGTAGTCTTATAGAATCAAGATTTTTTCAAGAATGACTTACTATAAAGGTTGTATTCTTATAAAACGTGGCAAAAATTCAAAATTTGATATTGTATTTTTATAAAATGTGACAATAAAAATTGTTTTTTGTTTATTTTTTGACTTTAGATTATTCAATAATATTAATAATAGATGATTATTCTTTAAGAATGTTGTTATTCTTTAACTCATGGTTCAAAAATTTTGTTATTCTAAAAAAATTCATTCAATCAGAATATGTATTCTGTCAGAATTTGTATTCAATCATAATATGTATTCTATTAGAATATGTATTTTAAACTTTTGGTCCACATTCATCCCTACATCCACACAATATTTACAATCCACATTATAACCTAGCCCAACGTCAACATATCATTAGAGATATATTCACACGCATCGTTCATAATATTTTGTTAATAAATAAACTCAATAACATTATATTATTCTATGTTTCTTGAAGAGGAATTTTAGGTAAATGACATAATCTATTACCTATAGTATATATATTCCATATCAGGGACATGCAACTTATGCTTAAATAGCAAAACACCTGTAGAATAAAGACAACTTGCAGAAATTAAAAAAACCATGTCAAACTCTTCTACAATCTTCAAATGCATAAATATTTCTACAAAAGGGTAAACTTTGTCATTGCCTTGATTTTATATTGCTTCAGTTTTAAGATAAGCTATCGAGAGCTTCAGAAGCAACAACTTAGTTCAAAAAATGAACAAACTCCATCACAGATTCATAAATTGGGGAAATCTAGTTTACTGAAAAGAAACAAAGAGATTTAGATTTTTCTTTTTTACCAAAAAAAATATTCAATATAAACGGTTTTTTTCTAAGAACATGGAGGATTTTATGACCTTAATTCATGCATCACCAACATCCGTAAAAATATTGACTTCATGAACAAACCCCACCTACATCAGTTACATTATCAATAATTTAATCAATCTGATAAAGCAACAATATCAGTTGGGGTAGCCTAGCAAATATTGGAAAATATTGAGATAAAACATTTTCAAAGTACATTGTCATTTTAGCTTAATTTAAGAATATCAAAATACACCTTTATGTACATAAGTCACATACGATTTAAAATCAAAATCTATTCTCACACCCTTACACACGTTTAAGGTAAGCATCATCTTTACATCTAAATCAAGTAAAGCATTAAACCCTTACATTTTTCTACTTTACCCTCCAAATATTTGATAACTTCCCAATAAATTTCACACTATCATACGAACAATATCCAATGGGAAGAGATACACCTTGGCATATTTCTTCTCTTTATGATCCTGCCTCTCCATCCTAATTTATAAGAAAAAAAACTAAAAAGTCCAATGATGAAAGTGTGTGTGTCTGGAAAAACAGAAAGTATGTTTCTATTTGTTGCATTTAGTCACTAATTGGGGCTAAATGCAAGATAAGATAAACTTGACAAAAGAAGTATCATAAGCTCTTATTAAGTGTGGAAATGACTATCCCTGTGGTTGTCCGTTCGCACCCCATTTGGCAACTAAAGATTATTTATGGCTTGAGATCAGCTCTTGAAATTCTATCAACATATAAAGATGATGACACAAATCATACATAAAGTATAATCTAGGTTATATATATACATATTCATTTTCATTTTCTTAACTGAAAATAACACCCAACAACATATCAAAATCATGTTCCTTGGGTGATTTTTCATCTGTTGCTGGAACTCCATGATGACCTCTTTCCCTTGATTTCCTTCAATCGGCACAAAAGAAAACTCAAGATTACCAATTCAAAATTTTGAAAATCCACATAAAGTTTAAGAAGACATCTATAACAAACTTTCAATGCAGGCATATTAAACCTAAAAAGTGCCTAAGTCATGAAAAGTCAACATACCATTTATAACTAAAGAACCATTACCTCCTGCTTTTGACCAATTCTGTGAGTTCAAGGTTGTGCTTGTAGATCAACCTAGCGACAGGGATAGACATAAAATCATTTAGCATAGCGAAAAATTCAATTTACTACATAATAAGAACTATTTTTTTACTACATAATAAAGTCTATTTTAACAAAATATGCATTTATAAGTACCAGGTAAAAAAGAAGCAACCAAAAATCTAGACTGGTCGTAAAAGAATACTAACCTTAAAAATCGAGACCTTACAACAACAAACTAATTGTCAAAATCCCTTTCTCTCTTTGTTCCTACTGCTCGTTCCTCATCCACTTGTAAGAGAAAATTATGTTAATAAGCTTTACCTCATAGTTATTGGCTATAAAATTCGGAGCCCCATCTTGTTGTGTTTAATAATTGCATCAAATGGTAAAGTACTTCGACATCTTAACACACAATAGAAGTCATACATAGAAGTAGGATAAACTAATTTCAACATTTATTCTTTTTCCAAAAAAGGTCAACCTGGCCAAAATCAAATAAAAAGTAGGAAAACAAAGATGAAATATGAAACGATTATAGTCGTAGGCATGCCTTTTAAAGTTACATCCATTAGTTTGATATCCAATCAAGTATATTGCACATAAATTGAAGCCTGAAAATGGAGAAGAATACATAAATAAGAAAGCATAAGTAGAATATCACAACCAATTGTAATGACCGATTTGAAGGTGATGAAAATGGTGGTAGCGGGAGCGTTCAATCTAGGTTTTATGGATGTAGAGAAAAGGTACAGGTTACCTACTCGATTTTCTGATTTGTTGAGTTCGGAAGGAGAAGCGGACGGTCAAACCTCCACAATAGCAGTGATGAAGGGTGGCCTCCGATGCAGGTAAGCGATGTTGTGATGGTGGTGACCGGTGATTGGGGGTGGCAGTGGAAAATGGGTTTTTGGTTAGGCTTCTACTTTTTAGGGAGAGAAGGAGGATGAGAGAGAGTGAATGATGGTGGGTTGTGTGCATATTAGGGTTTCGAATAAAGACGACAGGGGTAAGCAACCAACGGGTTTTTGAAGGCTAAACAAAATCAAGACTGATGGTGGGTTTTTTATGGTGGTGGTGGTAGTGGTGGTGGTGGTTGCGGTGAAGCAATGGCAAAGGTAGTAGATTACCAGTGGAGAAGGAGGTGTTTGGTGTGAATTTTGCCGGTTAGGGAAGATAGAAGGAGGAGAGAGGTGGTGGTTTCCTTTACCTGATGATAGATATTGTTTTGATGGTTGGAACTATGGATGATATTGTTTTGATGGTTGGAACGATGGTTGATGGTGGTGATTAAATACATAAATCATCTACAAATCTGTAGGTAACAAATCCCCGTTCTTCCATCCATATTTATTGCTTTTTTATTTGAACGAGTCTTGCTAAAATTAGGGATATATCGGATCCAATATTATTTTTCTTGACTTTTTCATATGTTGACCCAATTAAGATTTATCATTTTGTAATGCATAAAATGAGTGTACATAATGCAGGAAGGGCTTGTACCTCTTAATTTTCACCTTTGACCAAATATGTATATTAAGGTATAATATATATATATATATATATATATATATATATATATATATATAAAGTTATAAATATTATAACTTGAAATTTATTCATGTACTTGTGAGATTTACCACCTATTTAAGGGAGTATCATGCACTTTTACATATATACTTATCAAACATACTCGGCTTCTATAGTGAAACTTTAACTGTGTACATTAGTTAATGGGTTTTATAGTGAGACGTTATTCATAACCTAAGTATAAACACTTAGCATACCCACACGACTATAACCATTAATCCTCGGAGCGAGATACGTATGTATAGATCTATACGGGTTGACACCCCCATCTGCGGTTGCTAGCTACAACCTCGACAGATCAATCGAAGCGGGTGATAATTATCTTTAGTCGATTCCACAACGTCCAATGAAGCGTTGTAAGGGGTACATCTAGTCACATAGCTCGGTTATAGGACTCACTATAAACATTAACTGGATCTCTCTATCTCTCTCCCTCTCCCCTCTCTCTCTCTCTCTCTCTCTATATATATATATATATATATAATCTATATATATATATATATATATAGTATATATATAACATTTTAAGCATGGTTTTACATATAAAAGCAATACTCTTTGGCAATTATAAAAGTATCATTACTGCACTAGCAAAAAACCTTGTATTCAAACTTCAAGATGGAATACAACTATTGTTTTGATATTGTTGTGCTTGTGCTATATATCCAATTGCATGTGATCCATGAACAAAGTCGCACAGTCTGGCATGTTTATTATTATCTGTAAAGCAGTTCATGTGTATTATTATTATCTGTAAGAACCTTGTATTCAAACTTCAAGATGGAATACAACTACTGTTTTGCTATTGTTGTACTTGTACTATATATCCAAATGCATGTGATCAATGAAAAAAGTCGCACAATCTGGCATGTTTAGCAGCCTTGGCCGGGGGTGTAACAATGGGGATTATTCAACATTCAGAAAGGGAGTGGACTTGTAACGCCCTGTTTCAGATCGTTTCCTATTCAGTGTGGTGATCAAGGATTGGGTATTAGCAGGCTTATGATCCTTGAAGAAGATAGTTTTGGGCTCATTTGGAGGTGGATGATGTATATTGGATGATCCGGGTATTCGGTTTGTGTTTGGAGTTAAAGGGTATTTCGGTAATTTGTCAGCTCGGGCTTCTATGGAAAATGGATGTTTGTTCGGGTTATGGTAAGGAAATTATAAGTTGATAGAAGCGTAGAGCTTCTCTTTACCTTTCTGTGGATATAAGGATCGTCGGAAACGGACTTATAACGAAAAAGTTATGTCCTTCGGAAATTTGGTGGTTTTAGGGTGTAGTTGGGTACGCGGGGCGTACACAAAGGGTATGCAGGGTGTACTAGTGAAAAGGGCAGTACACGGGGCGTACCTCGGCGTACGTTGGGCGTACTGATTAGGATGGTCGCGGGTGCTCTACGGAGTACGCTGGGCGTACTCCAGTCAGATCAGAACCCTATTTTAGGGTCTTGGACCCTATTTAAGCTCCTTATCTCATAACCTAACCCTAATATCTTCAGCCTCCATCCCTCTAAACCCTATAAATCGACCCTTATCCCCCATTTGAGTGATTCTTGAGCTTTAAAATGGTTTATGTGTGTTTTTGGTGCTTGAGGAGGAAGAAGGAACTTCTTGAAGAGTCATTGCTTGGCTTGAAGCTTTTGGGTCCAGGCTTTGTTCACTTGGATCTAACTTCTGGAGGTATAAAGTCTCAAACTTGACAACTCTTTCTTGTAGATCTATCTAGGTGGCACTTTGTTATGATTTTGGTCCCTTTGAGGTGGTTCTTCTGAGTAGAAGTTACTCCAGAACCTTTAAGCTTCATATTTGGCTTTTGTTGGGGTTATGAAGTCATAAAGTTTGGATATTGATAGGTATTAACCTTCCATGCATGATTTGGTAGTCATTTGATGAAGTTTGGGACTTGGGGTTTTGATTTGAGTCCCATTGAGTTATGCTAAGTCATAAAGTTGGAAACTTTATGACTTAAGAAGTCCCTTTGAATCAGATCTGGAAGTTTGGACTAAGGTCTTAAGGTATTAAGAGATTTTTAAGACATTTTGGAGTGATTTTGACCTTTTGGAGTTCATCTTTGGTGATTGGGCTTCATTAAGCCATGCAAAGGCTTAAAGCATTCGACTTTATGGATCAAGTCACTTATATTTAGCTATTCTAAGGTTTTAGACGTATTGGCTTAATGGATTAAGAGCTAGAGTTGAGAGTTGGTCAAACAGGAGGAGTACGCGGGGCGTACAGGCTCTTAAGCCCGTATGCTTAGCGTACAAGCTGAGTACGCCCAGCGTACAAGATGAGTACGCCCCGCGTACTCAGCAGAGTAGGATTTCGGTTTTTGGGCTTCGTGTTGGGCTTGGTTGTTTGAGTTCTCAATGGGCCAACTGAGCATTAGTGTTTTGGACTAGGAAATTAGTTGGGCCTTAGGGTAAGGCCCATGTAAGGGGTTTGGGCCTAATTTGGAAAATTGGGCCTAGGTTGATTATTTGGCTTTTGGGCCTTAAGAGTGTGAGTTTGGGCCTTAGTCTTGGACCAAGCTAGGTTAGGGGTAAAATGGTCTTTTTACCCCAAGTATGGATTTATGGACTATGGATTGGAACCCAATTGTTAATTGGGTGTTGTTTTGACATTGACAGTTCGGGGATCCGTCAACCAGCAGCCAGGGATCGTCTGTGTGATTCGGCAGTGCGAGGTGAGTCTCCTCACTGGGTTTAGTGGGTCGAAGGCACCAATGTCGGCCCATGGTTTATATGTTAGGATGATAGACGTCTGTTCGACTCTTGCACGTGTATATGATGGTATGCTTACCGCGCAAGGCCCGACGCCAGGCGGGGCCTGAGGAGTATGGTGTATGCTGATAATGAGTATCTGTGTTATGCTTACCGGGCGAGGCCCGATACCGAGCGGGGCTCGATGATCGTATGGTATGTTGTATTCTTTGTGATTATTGCATGTCGTAGTCATGTTATATGTTTGTATGATTATAGGTTTATATGATTACATGTGTATCGGCGGGGCCTAATGTCAGACGAGCCCTGGTAATTGACAGATCTGTAATCCGAGCAGGGCTTGAGGTCGGGCGGGGACCGAGGCCGAGTGGGCTCGAGACCGGGCGAGGCCCGTAGGAGGGTGGGGGCCCAGTATGTGATTTACATATGTGTGATATGTGGTATCTTGGGGAACTCACTAAGCTTTGTGCTTATGGTGTTCAATTTATGTTTCAGGTACCTCAGTTTCAAATGCAAGAGCTAGGGATGGTTGCAGGGCACACACCTCATGTTTCCGCATTCTATGATTTACTCTGATTCGGTGATGTTTTGCTAAATCTTGATTACCATGGTTTTATGGAAATGATATGTATTAACGATTTATTTATTTAAAAACGAAAATTTTATGTTATTATTTTTGGGACGCTACAGGACTAGGGTCAGGAGTAGAAAGTCAGCATCCTCCAATAGGGTTCACCAGATTTTTGCATGTTTCTTCTGAAAAATTAAATAAGGTATCACATTCATTCTATGTCTCGAATTTTCCGGATTCCACTGTTCCAAAGGATATTTGGAAGGTGTGTGTACAGAAATTGGCCATGTCGTGGATGTGTTTATTAGTCCTAAGTTATCGAGATTGGGGAAACGATTTAATTTTGTTCGTTTCATTGATGTGCGAGATATCAATAGGATTGTTTTCAAACTTAATGATGTTTGGTTTGGCTATTATAAGATGTTTGCTACAATTTTGAGATTCCTCGGGAATGGTGATCGTGTGATTTGGGATCCTAATTCTCACATCAAATCCAAGATTGTCAACAACAAGACTTCTTTTTCCTATGCAAGTGTTGTTAAGGGATCTTTGCATGAGGATGTGAATATAGAGATACACTGTTTGGAAAATCCACTTTAAATACCTCACATGTATAGCCTAGACATCACTCTCATAAGTAGATCGATCAATATAACGATTGGTATTACTGATAAATCTTATTTATAAGTTCATAATAACGTTTACGAACAAAAATATAAGTTATACTAAAATTACGGTAAACATAACTCAACTTGCAAGTTGATTAACGAAAAACTGGACATTATGCAAGCACAACTTCGAAACCGAAAACTCTATTTTTCCAAGATCTCTGACACTTCGTAGCATAACTAGTAACACCTAAGACTCCTAAAGGCATGCCTTGGGAAAATTTGAGAGAGAAAGGAAGAAGATTTGTGAAGAAATGTGATAAAACTCGGACATATATATAGCAAATCTTATGAGGCATGTCGCGCCTTGGCCACGTGGAGGCTCCTGAGTGGTCCACGTCGACGAAGCTTGGAGACTAAGGTGTTGTTTGTTTTTTGTCTGCAGATTGTAACACCCCCACTCTCAGGTATAAACTTTACATTTTTATT